GCTGTGCGACTTGTGCTTGCTGCTGCTGCTGGCTGACGTTGACATGTGCCTCAGCTATGTTTGACTGCTGCACCATTTGATGTTGTTGTGGCACTACTATATGGGGCGCTACATTGGGTTGCTGTTGTTGCTGACTGCCTGTTGGTGAGAGGACCTGCACCTGCACCTGCACCTGGCTGTTGGCAATGTCCTGTATCAAGTTGTTTGCATTTTGGTATGATGCCAGCTGTGGATTCTGTATATAATGCACTGTGGACTTTTGCTGCATGGATATTGCTGGCGAGGCCAGAGGCACTTGCATCGATGGCTGCTGTTGACTGCCGCTTGCCTGAATCGATGTGTTCGATCGGTTTGGAATATTTTGCGGATCAACGCTGTTCGTGGACAGGGCCAGGCTGGTTTCGGAGTCGGTGTTTAGCAGGTCGTACTTCAGTTGCAGCCGTTGATTCCATTTTACTCCATCCTCCTCATCCTCAGAGTCCTCTTCATCCTCCTCATCCTCATCGACATTGGTGGGGAGGCTCTCGCGTTGCTTCTGCAGGGCTAGTTTCTCCAAACGAGACTTCTCGTTCTGCAGTTTGATTTGCGTTTGACGCTGAGCCCGTTCCTTGAGTAGCGACACAACCTGAACCTTCAGAAGGCGTGCAACGGCACGGGAGTCGTCCTCTGAGATAATATTCTCCTTCATCATTTCCTGGGCAATCTTCTCGTAGTCGTCGCTCGTTATATTATATTCAAATTGAATCGCCTCGTTCTCCTTGTGTCGGGATGAACGCTTCTTTGGGTCCAGGAATCGCAATCGGAACTCTATGATGCAAATGCTGGGATCGGAGAGAAATTGTTCGGAGGCCGTAGGCTCAACACGAATTCCAATATCCTCGTCAAAGAACTCCGACTCCAGGAGCTCGTTGCAGCTGGGTCGATCTTCTTTCTTCAGCTCAATGCATCGCTCGATGATGTCCCTCACATTGGGATCCTCCACCTTGGCCAGAGCGGCTGGCTTTATGCCGGAAATGACCTTCTTGTATATCTGGGCTGGTCCCTTGCACTCGCTATACGGATATTCCGATATTGCCATCTCCAACATGCACATGCCGAACGCATAGACATCTACTGATTCATCATAGTGCTCTTCGTACATTTCGGGGGCCATGAACTCGGGGGTGCCGATCACAGACTTAGCATGCGAACGATTCTTAAGTGTGGCCAGACCCAAGTCGCCGATCTTAACGCTACCCGTGGTGCCGGTTATAAATATATTATCACATTTCAAATCACGATGAATTATAGGAAATTGACGAGTATGCAGAAAGTTGAGGCCCTTCAGGATCTGACGGCACCATGACTTCAATACCTTTGGGTGTATCTTTTTGAAACGTTTTAAATAGCTACAAAATAAACACACCAGTTACGTTACACGATACGCATCAGAATAAAGCACTCTTACGATTTCAATGTCCCGGATAACATCAGCTCTGTGACTAGTACAATATTCTTTTTACGGCCGATCGGAAATTCCCAATATGTATAGAATCGTACAATGTTTGGATGCTGAAGTTTCTTCAACATGTCTGCCTCCTCACGGAATCTAGTGCGTTCGCTTTTCTTCACTTGCTTATCCTACAAAACAGAGGAGGTTAAGGGGGACTGATGGCTCCTGTTTGATTTTCTTACTTACAAGCAATTCGCACCAGGCAACCGGCACACCTGTCAGCGTGTCCAGGCCACGATAAACGGTTTTAAACGAGCCACGACCGACCTCTTTGTCGTATTTGAAAAAGCGACCGCATGGGGACATGGCCACCGGATCATCATCTTCATCACTTTTACTCTTTGTTAACGATGTGGCGGACGATGTGCTCGAGACCGTCGCTGTGGACGGCAGAAGCGATGCCGATGTGTCCGCCGAGGTTCCAGTTAAACCAGAGCCCTCAGAACTTACCTCGGTATTATCCGACGACCCCTTGACTCCTACATCGTCAATGCTCTTTGGCTTCTTCTCTTTGTGGATCGTCTCGGTATCGTCTTTCTCCTCAACCTGAAAGCCAACACGCTTCACCCCACCTGACTGCTTGTTGGTGGATTTTGATGGCACATCGTCGTCTTCAGTCTTCTTTTTTTCAATTACAAGACTTCGGGACGCCTCGGTAATGATATTCTCAATAATACCAGCCACTTGATGAGCGGTCGCATCTGGGGCATTCGATCGCGTTGGCGTACGGAATTGTTCCTCCAAATGTTCGGCCTCGCGTGACAGCATCTCAATGTTATCATCATAGTCGCGTGGAAATTCCGTTTCCAGTTCCACAAACTGCAACGGATTGGCATTTCTGGTCGATTGTTCAACATTCTTGCGCACAAATCGCATATTTTGCACAAAATTTGCCGTCAGAGTCGTTGGCGTCGATGACTGTGGTGCCGAGTGTTGTTTTATCAACGACGATGGCTCTATCACCGTGTCAGAGGAAGACTTTCGGGCCTCCATTTTTCCTGTTTTTATTTCAGATGCAACTTTCGAAGACGACTTTTCTTTGCTCAAGGTGCTGCCGCTGCTCGGCATTATGCCACCGCCTTTTTTTGGTTGGTGGTTTTTAATGTCTGAAGTCTCACTTTTTCGCCCGTCCATGATTTCTTCATTGTGTTGACCTCTGACCTCTGCTGTAGCTGTGACCTGTGCTTTTTCCAGCTCGCCGTTATTATTGATATTCTCGTTAGTTGCTGCGGTTGTTGTTGGTTCGTTTTCGTTTGTATTATTCACTGTTTTGCTGGTTGCGGTATTATTATTACTGGAAAAGTGTCGCAAAAATCGCACTAAAATATTATTTCTGCTCTTCGAAGCTGGTGCATGAAGCCTTGGCCAAGAGGAAGGTGATGATTGCTCCGTATGTGATGATGATGTTGATGCTTCCAACGAAGATAAGTTTTTGCTTGTGTGTGCAGAAAGTGCCGGTGATGGTGCCAGTGCCAGTGCCTCTTGCCTTCGATTGGATTTTCTACTATTAAATGTGTCTTTTAGTTTTATAGTCGGGTTCTTATTTTGCCTTGAGGAGGCAGACTTATTAAACGAACGGTGTCCCGACTTAGTTCCTTGCACAGTTTGCTCCTCGCTAGAAACAGAGGTATTCCTATAAAAAAGGGAAATATGATTGGTTAATGGTTGGTAATGGTATAACGATGAATCACCTTTGAGGTTGCGTGGTGCAGGAGGAAGTACCATCTTCGCTGATGGAGCTTCCCTTCCGAGCACTGTTTGGGGGTACGACCTCTTGTTGTCGTACAAAGTCACAGAGGGTTTGTCCAATTTTGTATGATTTTCAAACAGAAAAACACCAAGTTTAATCTAAAATGAAAAGCGAACGTGAATAATGTCAATTAATATTTATTCAATAGATACTATTCTTATCCCAATGATTCACCCAGGAAGATCAATTGTTTTCTTGATCCCAAGACCAAAGTTCTTTGTGGGGTCAAATGGGGCAAGACAAGGCGAGGCAACTCTTCATAGAACAATGCAATTGCTCTGGGGCTCTGGTTACGGCACACCAATATATACATATACGCATATGTAAATAAATGCTTGGATGAGTGTGTTCTCGGAATATCTCCCTTAGAGCTGTGCTGTGCGGAAAGCTGTTTTTCTTTGCGGTGTATCTTTCATTGAATCATAAGTTCCAATTGCACTTCCATCGCAGATAAGTACATACACATGATTTGTACATATGTTTCTGTTTTATGGCGAATTCATGTGACTGTTTGTGTGTGCACAATGTTTGTTTTTCCATATCAAGTGTAGGAAAATGGTGCTAGGCTCCAAATGTTTACACAAATATCCAGTTACCAAGTCTCATATTGATCGCAAAACAAAAAAACTATACGTGTTGGCGAAATGTGCAAGTGTTCACAGGTAATATGTATGTAGATATGCTTTTTCCTCTGATTTGATAAACTCAACTGTTTGCCAGCTTTAAAGATTTTGGTTAATTCACTTATACACATGAATGTACCATTGTACATATATGTATCCTATGTACATATTTATCAATTATATCCAACTTGACGCATAAAGCATATGCACATACATATGTACATATGTAGGAAAGGGTTATGATGTCATGGCAGACATGTATCACTACACAACTTCTTTAAAAATTTGATTACTGTTACTGTTACTGTTTGGTATTGTTTTTATTGTGTTAAAAGGAACTTCGATGGGTTTTAAGTTTTCATAATATTACACAAATGGATCTGATTTCTGTCCATATGCATTGTGATTGTGTGTTTCCAGTTTGAAGACGGTCACAATATAGTTTTGTGATGCAAAATATTTACGTAAAATATTAATTAAGTACTTATTTTGCTTAATAATACATTTCTTTCACAAAAATTTTCCAAAGCAACCTTGATATAACAAATTTTACAATTTTTTTGATGTGTGTGTTGGTGTATAGTGTTGGAAAACGTTAAACTGCTGTGAAAAGTGCTGCAAAATGGCAAATGTTGTACTAGTATTATTAGTTCCATATTCCACTCGTTCCGATGTGCCGGTCCCGATTCCACATGTTTTGTTTGTTTTTTAATGGCGTTCTCTTCGGGGTCGGATCTTTTGAAATTATAGTGCTCACCCTAAGATGACCGAATTGATTAAGAAACAAATTAATAGAATTAAAGTGGACTAAAACGGAAAGTGGATAAACTGTATAAGCTCTTATTTTTGCGTTGTGTTTCTTTCGTTTAGTACACTATGTTTCGAGTTCCACTTGGACTATTAATAGTTTTACCGCAACTTCTGTTTCAAATAGGATGTGTTCAAATGTGGTAGGCATTAAAAAAGAAAGAACGATTTTGCTGACTGTGCGATATCCGGTGCTAAACAGGTGGTGGCAATTACTGAGGGGCGCAACCAATTTATTTTCCACAGCTTTTTAAGTTTTGGAAATACAGACTTTATACCCGGTACTTCAAGAGTACTTTGAAAAACTAGAGGAACCAAATTTTGTGTGCACACTGCTGTGCGCATTACCTCTCTCTCTTCCAGTGAGGTTTGGCAGCAAACGGCTAATTTTCATGTCCGGCATTCAAATAGCGCAAATGCAAATTTTGTAATACATTGTTACCAGAGTCCTGACTAAACCAGTTAATGGGTTTTATTTCAGTTCGAAAAGCGAAATACATGCGTTAATTCTAGCTAGAGGTGGAAGCAAGGGAATTAAATACAAAAACCTAGTTAAAATAGAGGGACTGTCATTGTTGGCGCGTACAATCATAACAATACAAAATTCTTCTTGCTTTGATCATATTTGGGTTTCTACGGACGACAAAAGAATTTCAATTGAAGCCAACAAATGTAAGTGGACATCATTCGACCTCATCTTCTCTTCTCTTTATCTTTATATTCTCTGTGTAGATGGTGCTATTGTGCATAATCGGCCTTCAGAGATTGCCAGGGACGAGACATCTTCCCTGGATGCTATTAAAGAATTTTTAGATGTGCACAAAGCTATTCATAACTTTTCTTTATTTCAATGTACGTCTGTGTTTTTAAAAGAAAAATACATTATTGAAGCTGCTTTGGCATTTAAAAACCATGACTGTGTGTTTGCAGCTATGAGGTAAGGTTTTGCTTTTATAAATATGTTTCACATATGCATATTTTAACCAGTATGGCTTTGTTACATAGGTCGCATTATTTACGATGGGAATTCGTTGATCATTTGCTAGTACCTGTGGGTTTTAATTCAAAGGCCAGACCAAGACGCCAAGATTGGAAAGGAGATATAGTGGAAACAGGAATGTTCTATTTTTCGAAACGACGATTAGTAGAGAGTGGATTTTTACAAAATAACAGGTGATAACTCTCTATAAATATTTAGCACTATCGAGTAATATAAACCAAGAGTTTTGAAAAGATTACAAATATTGGTGTCTCATAACTGAACTCTATTATTATTCTTGTAGGTGCTCTATCGTGGAAATAGATCAAAAAGATGGTTTGGAAATCGACTCACCCATTGATTTAACAATAGCACGATGTATTTTAAATAATAAAATGTGAACTGAGCTTATTCAAACAGTATTAAAGGGAAAAGTATGTGTATTCTGAATATCTAAATCCAAAATACATAACATATACCTCGTATTCCAGTACATTTAGTATTGATAATTAATTTATTGCTGATAGCGTTATGACATTAGAGCAGGGGCCAGCGTCCTTTGTACAGTGAACAGAAGAGTGTTCTGTTGTTGCGCTACCTCTCACGTATACGTACATATATAACAGTGATTGGCAGTTGACGTCCGTTGGCTTTCCAGTTAAGCAGGGAGTAGTGCTGCGGCAGAGATTATCGATTGAAATTTTCAGAACCATGCTGCATTGCTGCCTATGTGTGCTATCATAATATAGTCCCATCATTTTTAAAACGAGAAAGATGAAGAAGAACAATAAACAACTAACAAAATGGCAACATATTAGATTAAAACTGACGAAAAATGCTATGTGCAGCATTTTGAATAGCACAATACCATGATTATTATTGTAACGGCACATCAGGGAGGATATTCGTATGGAAACGATAATAAGATCTACCAAATTTTCGGTATATTTTGATGTCGAAATGGAGTTAAAGGTATATTAAATTTGCATTTATATCCATGTCACTCATTCACTTTCAAGCAATTTCTCTTAGGCGCGCTCCACTCATATACAGTGGAGCGATGGCGGAACTGCTTTCTTTAAAACGGTTATTGACTCTTTTTGCTCTCTTCAAATCAGTTATGGCTTTCTTTTTCGATCTCCTTGAATCGGGTACTGAATTGTTATGATTGTTTTATGCTTTGACCTTTTTTTTAAACCTAATTTTGTGGTATTTTTATGCAAAGATGAAGGATAGGATAGACCTACAAGAGTAATTATTATTTGAAATATTTTCGGCGGTTTAACTTAAGTTGTATCCAATTGAAATAAATATATTTACGCTTTATTTTGAAAATGATATATTTCTGAGACTCAGACGGTATATTTGATCATAAATACCCCAAGAAAATAGGAACGATTAATCTCTTACGTTTTTTTTTACCTTTTTCGGTAAAACCTTTTTTAGGCAAAATCCGATAAAAGAATGTTTTTAAAATATACCAATCAAGGAGACAATAGGTTAATTAATCATATAAAATTATGTATCCAGGGATGTGAGATCTATCTAGCTAGTAATATTCGACGCCATATCAAAAACGAGGAATATGTATAACAGAATTTGAATTCGTCAGTATATTTACGGTATATTTTGAAAATGAGACGATCTATTTTGGTATATTTCTGAGGGTCGGACCGTACATTTTATCGTTAAGTCCGCGGTCACACTGGCCACCCCTAAAATTTTTGTATTGATTGTGTGTGTTTTGGGCGAAATAAGTTTTATTGAATTTGGAGCAGTGAAACAGTTTTTTTTTAAGAAAAATGTGCATAAAATGAATGTGTAACTCGTATTCAGGTAAAATATATATATACAGAATTGTGAAATTGTTAATTATGCATCCGTAAACAGACACGGATGTGCAAACAAATGTAAATATCGCTCATTGTAGTATATGTGCATATAACATGCATACATATATACACATGCAGGTGCATTAAAAACATAGAATAGTGAACATATGTATACATTAATACACGCAACGATCAGAATTAACATACGAACATTCATATATACTCTATATATTAAGGAGCTTGCACGTACCTATTATGTACATATGTACATACATAAATTTGTGCACAACTATTCGCATTCGTTCGGTCGTGAGCATGCGACTCGTTTGCACTAGTGAAATCGTCCACCACTGGGTGTCGTCCTTGCGCTACCAAAGGACAGGGCGGACGCTTTATCTGAAATGTTTGTTTTTTATACGAGGTAATACTCATAATATTGAATTGCTGTATTCTTGCCCAGCATCATTAGCCGAGACGATATTGTCCGTCCGTGCCTTCATCTTGTTTGTCGCCTAGTTCTCAGAGACTATAAGTGCTCAAGCAACCGAATTTTGTGTTCAGACTCCTCATACTGAATTAAATCAAACTGATTAAAAATGTGTCCCCTAAAATGTGCAAGGTAAAAGAACACCGCTAATGCCGCTAGGGGTAAATCTAATAGGGGTTTTGTCGTATGCAAAATCGTGGCAATCGAATCATTATTATAGCCAGTATAAAGTAGCTCTTATCTTTCACACTCTCTCCCAGAGTGGCCTAGCATTATGGAGACTCTCCCTCTAGATTAGGCTCTGGAGCAATCAGATTTTGTGCAAAAGCTTATGCTTATGCAATTTTGAAGATTCCAAGTTTGTGCGTAACTGCAGAGAGAAAGCGCATTTCATATGGGGTTGAAGTATAGAAAGGTATTTATTAGGTTCTCTATAAATCTCAATGACCTGAATTCTACTGGAAAAAATACATATTCGTATTTTATGCAGGAAAATTATCGATTAAAACAATGCGAAAATCTAAAATTCCACTGCAGGGCTTAAGTAATATAATAGTATAATTTTTCAGTGGTTTCATTATAACTATCACTATACAAATATAAGCAAACGATGAGTATTTGTATACTTATTAATAAGTATTTGCTAGTATCTAATAATAAGTGTGTATAGTATATCTAATAATAAGTAGTGCCGCACATCTTATACATAATAGGCCAAATACATTGCAATTACTTTTATTAAATGCAACATTTTAATTCTCATATTTACAGCAACTCAATAACCTTTATGTGGTCAATAATGGTCTTTGGATTGCAAGACGGAAAACCTTATGATGTGAGTAAAATAAAACATAGTTCATAAGTGTAAATTATTGCATGGATACCCCATTAATTGCTCCAAGCGTCAGCGCAGGGCTATTGCTCGGGTTGCGCGCAGATTTGTTCATTTTGGGCCGCCTAAAAGGCAATTAAACATTAGGCCCTGATACCAAAAAAAGCAATACTACTCGTACATAAACATCGATTTCAAATGCTAATCGTATTTCATAAACTGGTGATCTAAGCTTTACTTGTTCTACAGCAGCAGATCTCAGCAGACAAACATTTTTTTAATATTAAATGGTTCCTTTTTTAAACTGTTTAATAGCGAGGATGGCGAGGAGAAGATTTATTGACAAAGAGCCCTTGTATTAAAACTACTGCATGGTTCGTTGCTATTAGTCTTGCATTCGACCTTTTTGATTTGTTATGATACAGTGATCTGATTGTAATCTGAGCTGCTTAATTTAAATCCATATAACTATGGACTTTATCTTTACTAAATCTCTCTCAGACATGCAAAAACCAAAAAGAAAAATATATTGTGATATTTGCATATACATATATGCATACAAATTAAAAGTCTGTGGCTAATTTTAGTCACCCAAAAAGAGACTAGTTTTCAGAGAAGCTGTAATGTAGTTGTAGGTGCGATTGAAAGATTTCACCAAATGAGACTAAACCGAATGTTTAGAATTCTCTAAATCGATGAAATAAACTTGGCAGACTAATCCGAAAATGATCATGGGGTTTTTTTTTTCGTACCAATTATCTTTCTACCAATCCATTTTTTTTTAGAGCTTTCTGCCTTAATTGCTCAATATAATTTCACTACGTGATAATAAGCGCGTAATTTCTAATGCACAAATTAAAACATTTATGCAATTATGAAAAGTATTGAATATTAAATGTTTCAGCTCGGGATTTGCTGTCGATTTACTGTTGCAACGCCCATAGCAGAACAATTAAAATTTATTAAGTAACAAATGAACTAAAATAAGTTACTTGTTAAAGTTTTTTTGTAAAGGAATTTCTTGCTGTGAACGAAGTTTGTCTTAAGAATAGCAGCAGATCCTTTCCAGTAGAGAGAGAAAGAGCTAATTAATCTTTACAAATGAAATTATTTTTATATATTTAAGTTACATTTGTATTAGCGCCAAATTAATATTTGGTGAATTGTGCCTATGGCAGAATGTATGAATGTATTTTTAAAATGATGATTTGGTGAATCTTAAGCATTTTAAGCAGGTAAGAACTAAATTTGTTAACAAACAAAAAAGAATAAGTTTTTGATATTCATCTGACCAGACATTACATAAAAATTAATCGAAAAAACTGTAACAGTTTGGCAACCCTATTTCGTTATGCTTAACACACAAAAAGAAGCAAAAAGAACCCTTAGCGTGTAGAGAAAAATATGGTTAACCAATAATCGTCCTGTATAGAGACGAGAATTTACGCGCATGCGCCTGAACGCCCGATTCCTTCAGTCCTTTGGTACACATCAGGTTGGAAATGAAATATACAAGTTAATAGAGCCCAATACAATTTTTTTTTCCTCACGTATTATAAAGAAAAATTGACGAGTCGAGTCGTCGCTCGATCAAACGTTATATGTGTGCTTTATATCGTGGTTTAATTGATAAATTCATGCACACCGGAGCGTTAACGTTAACGTAATGCAATAAGATGCTTTCGAAAATATCGATTTAAAGTTGGTTTTTGTTCAAAAACAAACACCAGGTCAAATGTGAAAAGTACTGGCAAGGAAAAGCCATTGAATACGTTTAGAATATATTGAAATAAATAAGTATAAGCCTTTAGTAAGTTACTAACAGAACAGTGCAAAGCAAAACAATGGGATGCTTGAGTAGTAAAGACCGTTTAACTAAAGAAGACATGGAGTTTTTGAAAACCCACACAAGATACGATGAAGCCACCATTAAAGAGTGGTATAAAGGATTTAAGGTGAGTAAACGACACTTGCGACGACCCTTGCGGCTTGGAACAACAACAAAAATCGTCTAATTGTGTTTTCTTTTTGTATATAGCAAGATTGCCCGAACGGGCGTTTGACGCCAGCAAAATTTGTCGATATGTATAAAATGTTTTTTCCATCCGGAAATGCGGAGGAATTTTGTGACCATGTTTTTCGTACATTTGATATGGACAAAAATGGATATATCGACTTCAAGGTAATTGTTTTATTTTTATTCTATTCAGAAAACAACACACACATGCTACATTTTCCGATTCCTAACATCTGCTGTGTTTTGGGAGTGGGTTTTTTTTTGTATTTTTATTCGTGCAGATGTCTGCAACAGGCAGAAGTAAGAGTTTTAAAGACGAAAAGCTACATATATTCTAGGCGATTCAGCTATGTCCATCCTCCTGAATAAATGTACACTAAAATTCACACATAAATGGAATCGTATTTAATATTCAGACTTCGTTTTTTCCATCCAAGGGGGGCACAAGGGAAACCTCCCATAAATTAATAATATGGGGGTCCCTACAGCATAAGTACACACGCACCGAATTGGGGGTGCTCCGGCTCCAGATCAGATACATATGTACATATATGGTTAAAGGTACTCGAGTCATTTCGGCTGAAACACGTGTCTTGGGGCGGGGCTTGCAATAGCACATCTCTTCGATTTTATAATAGATTTGTGGGGTCGCTGGCCTTGTTACTGGTTAGTAGGTTAATTTCTTCGGTTAGTTAGTTCTCTTTTCGTGGCCGGATTTGTGTTTGTGTGATAACCATTGTCAGGCTTTTCATATTTAAATCCATTCGTCCGAAGTTAGTGCTAAAGTAAAATATACTAATTATTAAATCTCTACGGAAACAAAATCTTTCTTTTTCAGGAATTTTTACTTGCAATAGATGTTACTTCAAGCGGAACACCAGAAGAAAAGCTAAAATGGGCTTTTCGAATGTACGATGTTGATGGAAATGGTGTCATAGACATACAAGAAATGACCAAAATTGTTCAGGTATGAAATTTAACAACAAACTAGGGCACGTCCTTGATTAAACCTACTCCCATTGACGCAATCCAGACCCACATGGGGAATAATAAAAAAAAGCTCGAGAATGTAAAAGCAAAATACATGTCGTGTGCATGACGAGACACATTGTTGCTCGACTTTACACTGGGATTAAGTCTCGGTCTCACGAATGCTAACAACAAAATACATTTCGTGTGCTTGACGAGTCACACTGATGCTCGTAAATGAGTGGCGTAAACATTAATGATGTTGCTAGTATTCAGTTAAAGCAGTCTTCCAGTAAAAATTCTCCCGTAGCATAACCTTATCCATATCTTGCATTGAAGTCATATAGCACTTCATTTTATTCTCTTGTGATCCCGATGACACACTTGATTGTCTACATCGTACTTTATCAGGGTTAGTTTTTTGCTAATTTCTCAATAGTTTCCTAAATAAAAACTGGAATTATTCCCGACGTCTAAAAGTTCTCCAAGCTGCTCTGCTATATCTAAAACATTTAAATATTAAATGAATGGTCTCAGCAATTTAGAAAAAACACTTTATATTTTGACTTGCCAGAATATTCCTCATTCATACATTTGTGTATTGTTACAGGCAATTTATGATATGCTTGGAGCGTGCTCATCCAATCGTCCTGCAGACTCCGCGGAAGAACGAGCAAAAAATATATTTGCTAAGATGGACGAAAATAATGATGGTCAATTAACGCAGGATGAGTTTTTAAAAGGATGCTTACAAGATGAAGAGTTGTCCAAAATGTTGGCGCCATAAACAATTATATCCTACAATATGTGTGTATTTGATGAAATCAGTAATGAAATGTATAAATATTTAATTTATATTTCTTATACTAAAATTAAACTATGGAATCATTAAAATATTTGCATTGTATAAGTCTCATTCCAATTTAGAATTACATCTAAACTTGGTCAAATATCAAAACTACTCTAATATGGGGATGCTAATATCACTGGGCCCAATGCGGAGCCGCAGCTAATATAAACTCTTAACTTTAATAAATGCTCTTTATCTAGTATCTGCTACGACGCTATCTTTTAATAACTTTTAATAATAACGCATCATATGCACGTATACTTATAGAGTTTAAGAGGTTATTCCTTTTTTTAAGTCTTCTTTTTTTTTTAATACATTGTCAATCATCAACTCTGTCTTAAACTAATAATATAACTGATTGGGAGCAATGTCAATTTTTATTTTCGAATATTCTCGACAGCTCACATTTTGGTGACCCCGACACGTGATTTATGTAAGCGGTGGTCATGCTCCCATCGCTAACTAGCTCTCTGGCCAGTTTCGTTTTTGAAGTAGAGATCGATACATAAAATTATTCTCATTGGCTGTGCATTAAATGACTACGAGATTGTTCTCAGTATATGATCCTTTGCTGGATGTGTCTGTCTTTCTGTCAATAGTGTCTCCACTATTTGGCTATTCTATTTGGTTTTCTTGTCGCTTTCATATTCTATTGCTGTGCTCGTGTTGGTCAGAGACTGTGTACAGGGAGACTCGGTCAGAGACGATCATAGCAGCAAGATGATAAGTCGAACGTGGTCGTTGTTGTTGGCGAGCGCGAATGAAAAAGAAATGTTTTGAATATTTGGCATAGAAAGAAGGTTTCGAAAGGCTTGGAAGTCAGTAGAATTCAGTCGAAAGTAGCTCTGTGTGGGGACAAAGAGGTTATGATTAGAGTGGTTTGATTGTAGTGGTAACCTGGCAATTAGTAACCGAAACCCAACACAGGCAAAATATTCCTCAAGGTCTACTTATACTTTTCCTTATACCTATACCTATTCTTATACTCATACTTATACTAATACATCGGCCCTATTGTGCTTAGGTGACTTCTGATGAGAACTTATGCGATTTTCTAATAGCGTGCTGTGTGTGCTGAAAACCGAGTAAAGGCTGCACGGAATGGATGATTATTAATTAAAGGATGTTCTGGCATCACATATATCAGATTCTGGACATATTTTAATTTGCGTAGTCTGCTTCCTCTGCATTACGCTCCCAATCTCTCAATATCTCATGATCAAGTTTCGAGCTTCGGCGTATTCGACAAAAAGAACGTGGGAATAGAATCGGTAGACCAGCTATAGCTTCCAAATTTCCACACACACGTCCGTTAACACTGAAGCACGTATGCTCAATGATCGCTGGGTTGGGTTCAATTTCCGCTCTGATGGCGTCATTTTCTGGCGGCTGAGAAGCATGTGAACATGGTTTCTCCACTTAATGAGTGCTGAGAGCTCAGATCAAATAGTTCAAAATTAGCAACCTGTTAACTCCTGTTAAAAAAAAAAACACTACCTTGATGTATTTGAACTCCTTTGCCTGCTCGCAAGGCCAGGGTCTTGTGTTGCGATTTTTGAGCGAAATTGTTGCATTCTTTACTTATTTACTAGTCTAAGTTACGGTCGGGCTTACATAGTACTGAGGATCTGTTCGAGACTCGCTGGCGTGGAAAAATGGGTTTGACTTGACCGATTCACTTTATTAATACTCGTAATAATTTCTTCAGATATTTCTTAATCTTATATATGTACATTACATTTACAGATTACTCTATAATGAAATTGGTCTAAAAAAATGGGAAAGCAAAATAGTAAACTTAAGCCGGAAGTTTTGGAGGACCTTAAACAAAACACAGAATTCACAGGTATGTTTTTAATTTATATATTTAACGATATAGAGAGAATTTAGGCGCTCCCTTCGCGTAACTGCGTCACATGAAAACTCACCCTTAACTGCTTAGCCTCGCTGGAAGAGAAAGAGAGTGAGACGGAAGAATCACCCACGTATGGATACTTTAAGATCCGCTAATTTGATGCTTAATGTATCTTATTTGTTCCTGGATTTACACTCTTTATTTTGCGGAGACACCGTACTCGTTTGCGGTCTGCGATTGTTTTTTTTTCTAATGCACCTCTTATATGTCAGCTGTTGATGGTTCAAACCATACAAGGGGCTAGGGTTCGGGTTTTCCCGGCTTACTTTTGTCGATAATTTCCGCATGATGTCTAGAGGGAAGGCTAGAATTTGTTCGTAAACTTGGTCTCCGTGACGTTTTTGGGGGCAACAACTTGAACGGGTTTTCCCGACCAATCTGGCTCGATTCCGTACACATCCGGCTCTTTGCTACGTATTCCTTCTAGGTTTCATACACTTCCTGCGTCACGACAACTGGTACTTCATGGATAGGTAGTCCTCTAACATCTTGCTATTCTTAGGCCTCCGGAGCTCTAGAAAAATATTTATGCCGAATTTATGATTTATTATAACCATTTTTCAGATGCTGAAATCCAAGAATGGTATAAAGGTTTTCTTAAGGACTGCCCAAGTGGTCATTTGTCTGTAGAGGAGTTCAAAAAGATATATGGAAACTTCTTTCCATATGGCGATGCAAGCAAGGTAAATAGTTTTCCAGATTACCAAACAGCCCAATAAGCTAAAAACATTTTCTTTGATTTTCTCATTAGTTTGCAGAACACGTTTTTAGGACGTTTGATGCAAACGGCGATGGCACCATAGACTTTAGAGAGTTTTTGTGCGCACTAAGTGTGACATCACGAGGTAAACTCGAGCAAAAACTGAAATGGGCATTCTCCATGTATGATTTAGATGGAAACGGATACATATCGCGGCAAGAAATGCTGGAAATCGTTACAGTAAGTATTCAACAAAAGTAATATTTTTGAGTCTTTGTTAAGAGAAGCGACTAAACATCTATATAAGTATCACTGGGAGAGCGCTAGAGAAAGAGAGAGTCGGGAATACATGCTGCTTAGCCACACTGGAAGAGAGCGCGAGAGACAAATACAATAGAATCGCTAGATCGCTGATGTTAAAAATAAACTGATTACCGCTTGCCAGTTCCTTGGAAATGAATCATCTAGGAAATGTTTAATACTACTTTATTTTTCCTCCTTTAGGCAATATATAAAATGGTTGGTTCGGTCATGAAAATGCCAGAGGACGAAAGCACTCCAGAAAAACGAACGGACAAGATATTTCGCCAAATGGATCGAAACAAAGATGGGAAATTAAGCTTGGAAGAGTTTATAGAAGGAGCCAAAAGTGATCCTTCAATAGTTCGATTATTACAGTGTGATCCACAGTCCCATTAACTGAAATAATATTGAAAAGCAAGCAATAATCATTTAATTGTATAGTGTAATTGCAAATTAAATTGTTTTTATTTCAGTGTGGAAATTATGTAAATTTCTTTTTAATAAATAGTTCTTATAATATTATATAATATTTAAATTATTAAATTTGTCTTTTTCGAACCACCATACATACGTTTTTATATTTTTCTTTTGAACTGAAAATGCTGAAATGGTGGTATGTCTGGTTACTTCAGATGCATCGGTAAGGCAGGTGGTTAGGTATTTGCACGACATGCAGATAAACCGTGTGGTCGGTAAGTGACTCTAGATGTGTTACCTCATTTGAGAATATTCAGTGTCTTTATTAGTACCCATAGTACATCTTTGGTGATCGTTGCATACGTTCCGATATAGCCGATGTCTGGATCAATTGATCTGCTTAGCTATAGGACTGTCCCATGTCCAGAATTAAATCAATGCCAAAGATCAGTTCCAAAGATGGTATATTTGATGTTGTAGAGCTCAAAAGTTTTGCGTCGCCTACATACGCCGTGACAGCACATTTGGTAACAGCGCATATCACATCTAGATAAAATATGATAATGAAAGCTCCGAGCGATAGAAAGCACATATAATCTGTAACGCGTCTTATCAATATAATTTACCGCACGACATTCGACCTTCACTAAGGGCAGGGCCAATATATGCGGAATCGAAGTGCAGGTGACTTTTTAGCAAACTTTTTCTTTAGATGTCGACAGAAACACTCAAAAATTAACAATCGTGCCGTCAAAATTGTGTGATATCATTGAACTATCACAAACCCAGTTGAGTGATGCTAGAAATGTATCGCCTATACTATCAAAATACAACATTAGTAGCCGTCTGACCCCCATATTTATTTTAAGCACACTTTAATCCTTCAATTATACATATAAGTCTATGGAAAGCAGAGGCCAGATCGAGTTTCATTCAAGTGTATAAGCAAAAAAGTGAGTCCTATGGAAGCGCACAGTTTTTAAAATATATTTTCACAATGGTATAGAATAATATAAATACAATTTCAACAAGACAAAACAAATCAGCCATATCAATTGACTTCTCTATTCCTTTGCATAGTATAGTATATAAGCATTCATTTTCTATATTCAGAGCACATTCATTTAACTTTTCAATAATCTTAGAGTGATTTCAAAACTGTTCTGAAGCGGTCCAGAACAATGTTGGCATGGTATTTCTTGAACACTAAGGCTGGACGGAAGCGAATGGATATATCTCCACATCCACCTGTTTGAACACCGGTATGCCTTAGAGCGGTTATAATACGATCTCTCACATTTGTATTGGTGCAATTAATAGCCAAAAATGTTCCACGTCCACGGGTTGAGTTAAGAATATTCGGGAATTCCTTTTCCAAGTTTAATAAACCGTCTTTTAGAACTTTTCCGGTTTCATTTACATTAGCCAATAGCTTTTCCTCCTGTATTACTTTTATGATTTCCTCCAACAGAAGTACCTTTCCCGGGTCTCCCATCCAAGTGTTAAAAATTCGATATGGCTCATTGGGTACAAAATCATCATTATGGAAATAGCCACCCAATTGTAACTTTTTGCTAAAGGTAACAACATCGGGTGGTTGCTCGAAATTAAAGTGTTCATGGCACCAGAACTTGCCAGTGCCGCCGCCTCCAGTCTGAACTTCATCGATTAAGAGGGCAACACCCCTCTTCTTGCAAATACTTTGAAGGCCTCTGAAAAACTCTGGCGACGCTTCATTATCACCTCCTTCGCTCTGAATAGGCTCGATAGCAACGCCGGCAACGGGATTGCTTTTCTTTGTGTATTGTTCAATAAGATCTTCCACTTCACTCAGACACTTTTGGTCTTCTTTTTTGTTTTCCGCCACATTTTCATCTAGAGGATATTTGTATTGGGGAAATGATGCTACAGGCCAATCAAATGATGGAATATCCATTTTATGAATATACTTTGAGTGAGTTGTGGAGAGTGCTCCTAAGGTGCGACCATGGAAGGCTCCTTTGAATGATAAAATGCTTAGTTGGGGGGAGCCTGGGGCCTGGTTTATCATACACGAGCATTTTTCCTGTTCCGTAAAGGCTGCCGTTCCACGAACTTTATTTTGATACCTGGAAAAAATTTTTTTAAGAATTAGAAATATATGTTGAAGGGGTTTTAATCGCTCATAACAAGTCCCCCGCCTTAAGGATGATTACCATTAGCAACGGACAGAAGGTTTTCTTTTATTTCCCATAATAGAACAGAACCATAAACAAACTTACCATATAAAAATGCTTTTATATGCATTTTCGTTTGAACATGACCCACACATCATAGTAGTAATTTTATTTAATCCTTTTGGGGCAATATTCATCAAAATAGAATGAAGTTTTTCCGGCCATTCTTTTCCGGGAAAAACCCCAAGTGCGGGTCTGTTGATTAAAGCTGAAAGCACGAAAGAATTATTCATAGTATACTTTTCTATATTTAAAAAACTTTATCTCCCCATTGACCCACATCAAAAAATGCTTGAAACTTACTTTTTAGATTTTTCTCATCTTTGAAAACGTTAATGAGTCTGGGATGATTATAGCCCAAAGGTACAGAGGAAATTTGGGTGTAAACATCCAGTAATACATTTCCGTCAACATCGCAAATGTAGTTTCCAGCGGACTTCTCGTAATCGGCAAACAACTGTATGGTACCGGTGCTCTGTAAAAGAAGTGTTTGCTCTTGGTAAACATTACGACTAATATACATACATATTTTTTGATAGTCCATACTTAATAATAATAACAATTAATCTACTAATATATTAAAGGGTATGGGCATAATAATAGTAAAAACATTTTCAGACTGATACGAGTATATAAATCATATTGCTCTTTAGTCTGAAGTCAACCGTTGCCATTGACAACCAAAATGAAAAAGCCGGAGAAAAATCGATGGAAAATTCGTCATGGAAACGAAACAAGAGCATTTAAAAAGAAAGGACACCTGGAAAAAGCTGAATTAAATAATCACTAAGCCGACTGTATGACATTATGCAGGGTTTGTTTTTTCCTTGGTTTTGTAGAATTGTGTACCCATTACATAAATTTTATAAAAAAGGATGTTCACTTTCACTTCCTGCCCGGTCATCACGTTTATTCTTTTAGCCTCTTAGCACATCATACTTTAAACTATGAGCAAAAGAAGCATGTTGAGAATACAAAATACAAATCACCTGAACAGCATCCAGTTTATCCTTTAGCTCAAGGGACTTCGGTCCTGGTATGGCCTTGCTTTTCACAATAGGTTCCTTGGGCTCTTGGAGAGTTGAGTATCTATTACAGCCCAATCGATACACATCTAAAAACAAAAATTTGTTTTAATTAATTTTAACAAACTGTGATACATATCTGCATTTGTATATGTATGTAGCTTTTACGAACTTTGCTTTATCAATGTATTCAATAACAAATGCCTCATGGTTATCTTTTGATTTTTTTTTTTATTTATTATGAACGAATTGATCAATAAGAGAGCTGAAGCGCCACTAGTATTCAACAGAAAAAAGATTATTATGCAGAAAGCACACGTATAAATTAACTTTGTTTGTATGTATCCTTGTTTGGATCTACAAAAATCAAAATGTGCTATCTCCGAATTAGGCAACAGAGTAGAATACATCATGGTTATGCGTCGTTTACATATGTAACTTCACATGAAAGCATAAATATTTTAAATTTAATAAAGCTGATTACACTAGGCAACAAAATTGAACCTTTTATTTGCGCTTCGATTTAAATTTGTTTATATGAATTACGGGTTTTTTTTTGTTAAGGTTTTTTTTTAAGTTTTCAAAACTGCTATTTACTTTCATGTTTCTGGAAAATATAAATAATAATATAAAGCAAAACTGATAATTTTCTGAAATTTTTTGTTTTCAAAACGTTTGTTTTAAAAACTTTGTAAAAACTTGACCATAATTTTGTATGCCCCAAACCTATTAGAAAAATTTGGTTTGGTTCGAAGCGTAAATATGGTACTGCATAGTGTTATGCTCCAGTTATGTACTCCAAAAGTGTTTGCAAATCGCAAGATTCTTAAGAAGCTTGCGATTTCAAAATTGATTTGCATACACCACATAAATATACATTTTTAATAGTTGGAAGTCTCCCGTTTTACTTACTTTTGCGTTTTGCGTTTTCAGCCAAAACGTTTCGTTTTTACGTGCTCCCGTTTTCACAAATATTTTGTATCGATATGTTCCGTTTTCTCAACGAACCTGGCACGCAAAAACAGATGACATGGTTACTTCTTAAATATACGGCGTGATAAAAATAATGCATTTTTCAACTGATTGCTTTGTAGCAAAAAGTAAAAAATTAATATATAGCACTTACGTTTTAAATTAATTGTGTCGGTAAATAGCTGTATTTATCCAGATTTTCTTTTACGCGTATGTTACGAGTCCAATCCGAGCTGGTACGAAAACACGCTGTTATGCGCCAAAATGTCGAATCGATATCCGAATCGGGCTGCGTCAGCTGTTAGCACGAAAACGCAATGTGTTGTTGCCCAATTATTTCAGAGCAAAATTTGATGTTGGGTTAAACAAAATATTTTTAAATACGGCACAAGCCAATCTGCCCTGGTAATGGTATACAATTTATGGTAATGCATCAATAAGTCATCTATTATTTTTCCTTTTTCAACTAAGATTCTTTTTGTTGTAAAAAAAATAATTTTTTTTTTCATTTCTGCACGGAAAATGATTCCGTTGTGAAAACGGAGAAACCTTGCGCTTTGAGAAAACGGGAGCAGTAATTTATCTGTTTTCAAACGTAAATCGGAAAATTTATGTGATTAAATTTATCAATTTAATACAATATCAAACACCTTAAGGTAAGGTATGATGGGCAAAAGCGAGTGGTGAAGACAGATAAGAGAGTTGGTACATTGAGCATATTCCAGATATGAAAAGTCAACATATTCTTTTAAGACACACTGGGAGAGAGAAGCAGACTGCGATAGGCAGGAACCAACCACGGGAAATTGTTCTCTTTTTTCTGGCTACTACCAACCAATTTAGTGTCTGCCTAAAATAGTATCCTCCTTATAATTGTGCCGTTCTTTCGGTAGAACCAACCCCTTTAGGAGAAAGAATACATTTTGCAAGCTTTAAATCCGAGACTCCCGAATCACGGTTGCACGTTTTGCGAGTTGATCTAAAATCATACAAATAGATTGCTGTACAGCTTTTTCATTATCCTATTTGTGGAGCTTTGACAAATCCGTCATGTGGAGATATTTAGTGCTTAGTAGCGTAAAAGGATGTCTATAATTATTACCACTTTATCTTTTTATTCTTCTTTTTAGAAGCTAGCGTTCAAAAATACAAAAGTATATTTCATATATTTTGTATTTTTCTTTTGACTGAAGCCGTATTTCTGATGTGATCAAACCGAACATTTTGGAATAGAAACAGTGGCATCATGCACATTGTAGAAATCGCATAGCTTCAATGCTGTTGTTTTCGTGAAAATGGTGATAATTTCTGGTAAAAAATGTTTAAACTATTTCAGAGCTGATATATATATTTTTCAATAAATTTAAATCTGAATACTTAAGACATTCATATTAATTAGAGGCTTTTTCTAAAATTGATACATATCCCATAAGAAATAACACTGTGCCAATTCCATTGTTTTGAATCTTTCAATGAATCTAGTTGTCACTTGACACAGAACAGAGTCGATTTGGAAAGCAAAAATATCGTTTGCATTTGATGTGATAAAAAAATACACATACATATAGTTTAAGCGGAAAAATATTTTTTGATATGCTCGAAATGAATAAAACTGCAATTGGAATTGCGGCTGGGGTTGCTGGAACTTTGTTCATTGGATATTGCATCTACTTTGACAAGAAACGCCGAAATGACCCAGAATATAAGAAGAAAGTCCGTGAGCGTAAGATTACCCTATTTGTAATGGTTAACTTGAATGAAACATGGTATTTTAATATATGAATAGGTCGCCGCCGCAGCAAAAAAACTGGAAATACTAAGGCAGGAATTCCAAATCTAAATGACCATGAAGCTATTGAAAAGTAAGTAAATCTACTCCAAAACATATTATATAAGAAGGACAGCACGTGCAGAAGTATACATTTCACATATGCATGCACATATATGTGTGTACGCACAATCAGAACAAACGATTTTTCGTAGACCTGTAAAGAAACACATTATTCGGCTAATTGAAGTGTAATTCGCATAGGGATCTGCAGTTATCTAGATTCATACAGTTCGTTCCACGCTCTTAATGAGTCAACACCAGAGGTGATTAGCCTGTAGTAACGGTGTTAGTAGCATGCGAAATTACGAAAAGTTCTTGTGTTTTCTTGGGCAACAACAATTGGCAATCAATTATGCCCATCTATGCCCATAGGTCGTGCTTTGAACGCTACGAAGCAAGTTTTCCTTCAACATATTCTACCGATCGGCTACACAATCGATGTATTATTATTCAGCCTGGTTATATGTATAGTGTAGTTTTCCAATAATACAAAATCATTTATCTTTCAGATATTTTCTACAAGAAATTCAGCTGGGTGAAACCCTTATAGCCAGAGGAGATTTCGAAACTGGCGTAGAGCATTTGGCAAACGCGATTGTTGTTTGCGGCCAGCCGGCACGTTTGCTGCAAGTGCTACAATCGTCCCTCCCAGCTCAAGTATTTGCAATGTTGATTGTAAAAATGCAGGAATTCGGGAACCGAGCTGCGGAGTCGAACGATATACAGGTCAACGTGGGCGGACAACAAGTGGACAGCAAAATGCTAGACAGCTCATCGGGAGCTGGAATTGATGACCTGGAATAAAAATTGGAGATGGCCGTAAATACTATAATAAAATGTTCAACAATAGAAATTAAGGGCCTCATATTTTAGTTACGTTTCCAATACATACAAATAAATGTACGTACACTAAAGATTCACGCATGTACCCATTATTTTTCTTGTGTGCGGCCGTGACGCAAAAATTGTTAAATCGCATGCTATACATAGTAAAGCAGATCGTCAGGCCCACGTAAATAGGAAAAATAATTACGATATCTGTTTACTAGCTTAACTCAACATTAATCAAACCAGGAATGGAGTTAAAATAAATTAATCGCCATACAAAATAAAACACGTAACGGCCTCAATAAATTGATGTATGTATATTAAAAATAAGAAATTTTAAAAAGTTGTTATCAAATATCTTTGTGCCATACGCAAATAACGGTCTGCGAGCTGTGGACTCTGGTACTCCTTGGATATCGCTAAAGGCGTTCACATCGCGACAGAAGTTCTCTCTTCCCCCGAATGATGGACCACTTTTGCACCCAAGAGTGGGTGGAATCGGAGCTCCCTATGGCGAGGATGCCCTCTGAGAGGTAACGCCGAATCGAACCTCTTTCTAAACCTTTAAACGTTCAAAACAAAAAAGTACAAATAAAAATAAATAAATTCAAACATTAAATCATATCTACCAGAATAATTATATGTAAAGCAAAATAAATGAATTGAACAATACAGCGAAATTTTTTCTGTCATTCTTCCAGCAAGCTGAAAACTTGATGAAATTACCTGAAGACGAGCGGGCAAGGACAACGGCAAGGATCGAGGCTCTACTTTATGGCCGGTACTCAATCAGTATATGTATTATATATGTTATGTGATATTTTCTGTGTCGTTTGGTTTCGCTGCTCGCAAGAGGTACGAATTGATTTTTCGCCAAACAAAATGTTCGTAAAATTGTTTGTGAGCCTTTTAAACTCGATACTCAAATTGAGAATAGTGGTGTATTAGATTTGTGGTGAAAGTGGATGTGTGTAACGTACAGACGGAAATGTTTCAGATCCCATAAAGTATACAAGTTCTTGATCAGCTTCAACAGACGATTCGATTGAGCCATGTATCTCCGTCCCTATGAGCGTCTAGTGCTCGGAGACTATAAGAGCTAGAGCAACATTTTGTATCCAGACTTCTGTGATATGACGCTGATACATGTGTATTACGTCGCGCTCCCCTTCCGCTCCCACAATGAACGTAAATCTGTGGCAACCACAATTTTAAAGATTTAAAACCCACAATCATAGAGATGTACCAGATTGCCGAATCTGGATCAGATCGGATTATTATTATAAACAAAAGGAGCAAATCCTACATATACAGTGGATACACAGCGCCCTACACGTTCTGACTGATTTTCTGTCTCTCTCGCACGCACTCTTTGTCGTTCAATGTTAGCGCCGTCTCTCTATACTGACTAAGTATCGGGTTTGACAACGTTCTCCCTCGTTATATATTAGATTTGATCTATTTTTAATTTTTCTTTACATTTTTGTTTACGTCTGTCCCTTATTTTCTACACTCACACCACAGATCACACACTGCACGATGAAAAGTCTGAGAGAGAGAGAGACGGACGTTTCGTAGCCTCTGCAATGATCCGATCTGATGCAGATTCAGCAATGTGCTGGTTATGTTCTACGTTTTTGATTTTCTCGTATCTCCAAAATTATGGATGCCACTGATTTACGTTCTTTGTGGGAGCGAGGCGAAATTTTGAAATGCGCTTGTAACAATGTGATATCACAGGATTCTGCATAAGAAATGTATTTGCTCTCGTTCTTACAGTCGCTGAGATCTAGGCGCTCGGACGGACAGGCGTGACATTCCTTCTGGGTGTTACACACAAATCTAATATACCCCCTTGCTCTTTTGAGTATTGGGTATTTGTGGAATTTGAAAAGTATGGTCAATTGTATTATAAATTATGGTAAATCCTTGCAATAAAATTCGATTCTCGTTGAAATAATACTATTTTGCATCCTTTGTAGTTTATCCATGCAATAAAATCATATCCTTGCTTTATGGCTAATTATTGGTTGCAATAAAATTATTATCCTTCCTTTATGGTCAATCATCCGTCACCTCTTTATGGAAAGTCGCCCTCGGTATAAAATTGTTATCCTTCCGTTATAGTCAATTATCCGTCAACTCTTATGGTAAGTCCTTCCTTTATGGTAAATTAACCATAAAATAAAAATAAAACCGTTTTCCTGTCATTATGGTAGACTATTCCCTAAATTCCCTATCGCTGTAAAAATGTCCCTCTGAGGAAAATTTCTCGAAGAAATGTCCTTAAAATGTCCCATTATATTAACAGATATGTACAATTTCTCCTGCCGCTAGATTTCCCCTGCAACCGGATTCGAATCGAACCCTTATTGTTGGCGCGCAACTTGTATGACTTCTAAAGAAAGAAATTTACGGTTGTTACAACATAAATTGAAATGATATTGGGAGTCCAGTCCACGCAACCAACACAGGCGACAGGCGACAGGCGCCTAGAAGAAGGCTAAGGAACAGTTAAATTTCAGCTCTCTTCGACTGCGGTTTATAACGGGATATAATACTCGTCCTGTACTGAGAGACTCGCGTCGGTCGCGTGAAGAGCTTTCAATCGAATAAATAAAAAAATGTGTTTCCATCTAAAAGCGACGTTCTTCTCACATACATAAATATGCCATAAAGGATACGACATACAAATGAATACTATGTACGTCTTGGATGCACGAGTATGTGTATGTTCAAGTGATGTTTTTTTTGGTTACTAATAATAACACAAAATCGTACAAGCTCTGAGATATGTACATACATGCATATATAGTGCTCTAATACTACAGAAATAATTTTAAAAATCTATGTGGACGTGATAAGCGGTTGCATAACATTGTGAAAGAGTTTAATTAAATTCAATTAAAAGATTACAATTTCCAATCTAATGTTTCCTGCTAAAAAGACAGTGGCTATATGGATAACGATGAACTGCAAGTGTTCAATAGCCGGTTCTTTAAAGGATACAAAATATTTATATAGTACCTCTTGACGCCCCAACAAACAAAGAAATAACCACAATATGCTAAATTACTCCCATTTTCATGAAGTTGTAATCGACTTGAATTTGTTAGCCGCAACAGCTTTAACCAGCATAGAAGAGTCAGGCAATAAACAAAATTCATGGCAACTTAATTCTCAGATAGATGTACATATCTATGTACAAAAACAATGGTAGACACACTTACAACATATTAAAGAAACCCTGTTCTTAAGGAGAACGGCTATTTAATTGGTATTTTCAACTCCGGCTGTAATAATTATCCAATTACATCATGTTCCATATCTTCAAAATTCTAGATACCAAAGGGCTGTTTGGTTTTTTTGAGTGTGGTGGCGGAAATCCTTTCTTTTGCCCTTGAACTTTTCGAATTGCATGTGAATTAATGATTGACTGTATGATATGATTGTCAAAGGGGGGTTTTGGTTGGGCCCATTCGAGTATATCAACAGCCGGTGTAGGGAACTATGTTTACTCTGTTCGAGTATACCTATATATGAAAGTCGCGCCAGCAACATTAATCTTAATTAAACTTTGGATTAATATTGTGGTTTGGCTTGACTTTTTAGCTCCGTACGCCAAGAAAATTACGAAACCAAAAATTGGATGAACATAGAAAACAGAATACAAATATTAACCAATTAAACACAAATTTGTAGCACTTGGTGCACTTTCATTCCGTAGAACACTGAATATGTTGGGTAATTTCCATGCAAACTTTTTTAAGTTTAAGAAGAGTCGATGAAAAAGTAACTAAACTAGGTCTTCAGAGAAGTATGGAAGCCAAAAAAATTCCTATATTTCCGAGACGTATGATGACCACAGACATAGGGACAGTATTGATACGGATCCGATATTGACCCGATTGTAGTATAACTTCGCTGATCTGTGAAAAAACCCATAATTCTTATGGGTTTGGAGTTGAAATCTTAATAGAACGATATTTGGTATTGTGAGCCGATAAAGCGCTAAATAAAAACGGACTGTGCTATGTTACAGTCAGAGAGCCTTAAACTGAACGAATATTTCGAATAGATGCATACAGGTGGACGAACGGAAATACAGATTACACATTACACCCCTTATGCTAAGGTACCAGTAGGGTAGCAGAACAAGTTCAGGTAATATGAAGGTATATCAAGGCGGATAATCGAAACTAGAGTGAGGCTTGGCTGCCGCCATGGATTTTGATCGAGAGTTCCAGTAAAAAAAAACTGTAGAACCTTCGAAATAGTATCAATAGAATAAGGACTACATTAATCACTCTCCACTATACAGAAGACTACGAGCAATTTTCTCTCTCCTTTAAAATCCACTTTAGTGTTTTTTTAACAAATATAATTATTGCATTTGTGGTGGGACGGGAACTGGTGTTGTGGCGCTGAACAATTATTGTTCAGTAGCTTATTTTCTCAAGATATAAGGAAAGAAACGAGCCCATTGCAGCGTTGCGGTTATTTTAAAAATTGTATGTGTGCAGTCTGGTCACACTGAACGTTTTATATGAATAAGAAGTAAACAAACAATTAATCATGTACAACTAATCCAGTGACCAACCTAACTTCGTCATATACGACTGCAGCTACAAAACTTAAACACAATTAGTCGGTAAAATTGGTCAAAATCAAAGATACATATTTTTTTTTGCTGTTTGAGCCAATTGAGTGGTCGCAGGACGATGAATCTGCAGTGACCAGATTCTTAATGTGGTACCAGCAAGGCTCGAGGAAGGCTGGAAGGAATAGGCGGCGGAATCAATTACGATTATATATAATCAAAATTTGTTGAGATATTTTTTTGTGTGTGTGTTACTACAGTGCAGAATAGGCGGCGGAATCAATTACGAATATATATAATCAAAATTTGTTGTTCGAATACAATACAACTGTCATTTCGTGCAACTATCGATATATCAAACGAACTGCGTGAGTGGCTTGCACAAGCACGAACAGCTGCGCATCGTAGTTAACTGCATACATGCTGATATGTGTGTATGTTCATAAAATAAAAGATTGGATGAAATTCAGAGTGAAATACCTGTTAGTGTGCCTAT